TATTATTATTATTATACAATTTGCTATTATCAATCTAGTATTATGCTGTTAGGGTACTACTCATTACACACTACTCATTTTATTGTTATTGTCTATTCTGCAAGTGATATTCCATATTCTACTTGTTATTATTAATTTATTATTATTGTTGTTGTTGTAGTTTACTGTAATTAAAGGATTATACATACATCTATTATTATGCTATTATATTATTGTACTACTTATTACTTTTTTATTGAATGTTATTCTTAATTATTATAAAAATGTTATATATTATTTACTGTTGCATCTTACTTTATACTATATTACAAATATATTTGCTGAACTGTTGTTGTGCCAAATCACATATGTATTTTCATGCCATCAGTTATCTTTGTTATTGTCTGTTTTGGAGTATGTACCTGTAAATAATTGCATCAATTTAGTGCTATAAAAATATAGAAAGGAGCCTGGCAGTGTGATTTGTATTTGTCAGTTTGTTCCATTTCTCAATTTTGGTAAAATTATTACTTAAGATGGGCATTTGTTTTCCCAGTATTTCAAAGGGAGCGAGGTATGTTCTGACCTGAAACGCAAGAAAAGCTAAAATGGTGAGGTTAAACAGAAAATACTGTGTGAGCTTTTGTAATTCCTTATTAAATAAATGTAACTATCGAGATTTTAAGTATCTGGATTGTTTTTTGTACACCACGTAGATCATAAACCACTGATATAAGTTGATAAAAACAAACCTTGTCATATTTTTATACAGAAAAACCGCAGCTCTCCCTGTTCGTTGCATTTGTTTACAGGAGACTCTTGCCCGCACCAATATGGCGGACGCGTTGACGTATCGCAGCAACGGACCGAAACGGCCAATGAGGCGTCTAGGTATTTAAACGTCTATGGTTGCAACCAGCCATAAAACCAGAAGAAGAAGAAGCAAGCCGTTCTGGTTACGTGGCCCAAGTTACGTCGCCAAAGTTGACGTTTCACAAACATGGCGTCGCAGCAGAATGAAGTGGATGAGCTGTTCGATGTGAAAAACGCGTTTTATATCGGCAGCTATCAACACTGCATTAACGAAGCCCAGAAAGTAAAGGTGAGCGTCCTGCAAAACAAATATTCTTCATAAGACGAAAACATTTCCTCAAAGAGTTTTAGGTTCTAGAGTATGTTTATGCTAGCGGCTAATTCATTACAGCTTCTATGTATCACATACCTGCTTAAAGATTGTAATTAACAAATTACAAACAACCACATGTAACTCTTTTATATTTCTTTCAGACGTCAAATCCGGAAAAGGATGTTGAGAAGAACATTTTTCTGTACAGAGCATATATTGCTCAGGTAAGTTCATCAGTCTGTTGTGATGCTGCTGCGGCGTTGGTTTGATTTTGTTCGGAATAAACACTTGTACACATTTAGATTGATTTGCACATTATAGTTTTATGTTACTGTCAGCTATAATGTCTTTTTTTCCGCCTGTCATTAAAGATAACACAGCTGTTTCATCTTTAAAACAACAAACACAGTAAAGAATGCACTTTTTTATATATAAAAAGGAGTTTGAGAATTAGGTTAGTGCTGGAAATGAGATAATAATTAGGGGTTAACAGTGATGATTTCTGTCTCCTCAGAGGAAGTATGGTGTGGTACTGGATGATATAAAGCCCAGCTCCTCTGAGGAGCTGCAGGCTGTCAGGATGTTTGCAGAGTACATGTCCAATGAAGGCATGAGGTTTGTGCAGTCTTATATCATTTAAAATCTAGAAACATACAGTTTAGTCATTTTTCTGTGATTTTAAAAACATATCTTCGTAAAACGTACAGAAGCCTTGGATTATGCATTTATTTTATGGCCACATACTTTCTCTAGGGATGCGATAGTGGCAGAACTGGACAAAAAGATGGCTAAGAGTGTTGATGTTTCCAACACCACCTTCCTGCTGATGGCGGCTTCAATCTACCTGCATGAGATGAACACAGATGCTGCATTACGTACCCTGCACCAGGGAGACAGTCTGGAGTGGTGAGTTTCCAGAGACCTTCTGGCAGTTTCATAAATGTTTGATTTAGGGTGTATTCTATTCACACCAGGAAAGTCTGCTGTAGTGTTGGGTCGTTCTTGTACTATTCGTTCATTTTGAACGATTCTTTAATGTGACTCGGGAAGAACGAGTCGTCTCGGCGAGTGATTCGTTCAGTCGCGCATCCGTAACATCCTATAGGTTCTGTACTGGAATTAGTCAAGTAGTTTCGAGTCTTCGGGGTTTTCGAGTCATTCGTTCATCACGTGACAGCCCCTTAAGTTTAACCTATGCAGTCTGAGCCGGAAAGAGAATTGATTAGTTCATCTCTCGAGTCTTCGGGTTTTTCGAGTCGATCGTACATCACGTGACCGCCCCTTAAGTTTAACTTATGCAGTCTGAGCCGGAAAGAGAATTGATTAGTTCATCTCTCGAGTCTTCTGGGTTTGAGTCGTTCGTTCATCACGTGACAGCCCCTTAAGTTTAACCTATGCAGTCTGAGCCGGAAAGAGAATTGATTAGTTCATCTCTCGAGTCTTCTGGGTTTGAGTCGGTTCATTTTGCTGAACGAGACTCAAAGGTCCGAGTCGGTAAAATGATCCGAACTTCCCATCACTAGTCTGCTAGTTCACTTGCTTTTGTCCGGACCAAATACGATGTTGATTTTTATTTTTTTTGTTTGGTGCAGTTTGCTTTCACACTGCCATTTTTGCAAGTGAACCAGACACTGTAAACAAAACCACACGTGTGCTTAAGATCATCCATTCATTAGTTCATCCATTCAACCGTAGCAGAGTTTGTTTGGAATTGGACCGAGACCACCTCTTCAGCAGGGTCTCAGTATGGTTGTTTGGTCCGCACCAGAGTGCTATTGCTGTATTCACACCTGCCCAAAAGATCCACACCAAAGAGGGAAACGAACTTGAGTTCGATTCAATCGAACCGAACAAGATGGATGTGAATACACTCTTAATCTAACACAAGTTGGATTACAAATCCCTAAGTTGCTCACTGTCTTTTTGTATTTCTCTTATAGCATGGCCATGATGGTCCAGATACTTCTAAAGCTGGACAGAGTTGATATGGCAAGGTATTTCTTTTAATTAATTCATTTTTAATTATTATTTAGTTTTGTATGTATGTACAGTATAAATGTTATATGCATATGTTTTTTTTTTTCAGAAATATTTGTAAATTACAAAATATGTATCTTAACTTATGATATTTTTGCTACAAATATAAAAATTAACCCTGCTTTTAGTTAATGGCTTTGGATATATTCTTGTCATGGATCTGTTGTGTTGCTCATTGTCTCCACAGAAAGGAATTAAAGAAGATGCAAGACCAAGATGAAGATGCCACTCTGACCCAGCTTGCTACCGCTTGGGTCAACCTTGCAATTGTGAGTATTGATGTAAATGTGAAAACTGATTTTCTTGGACGTTCCTTGTCTAAAGGCTGTGAAACACCAAGTTGGCTGTTGGCCAGTGTCAGGCAATTGTTGAACGTCTGTCAGCCCAGTTTTTGTGGTGTGTTCTGCACTGTCTGCACTAGTTGGACGACCGTCCGTGGCTTTTTGGTCAATTGAGCATATTGAAATGGAGTCGGAGCCTTTGGTTGTGAGATCACTCTTATTGGATGTTCAGCTTAACCAAACAGTGCATGAGAAAAAAAAATCTTCTCATGGGAAGACTCTTCTCATTTTACCTGAGCATTCCAATATGCAGATACTTACATAATGACATAGCCATCGGTGATGTAAGCAACCGAAGACCAACTGACCAACCTGATTCATATTTTATATAGTATGCAAGTGCTGCATTGTTAATGCTTGTATGTCCTTTGACAACATTGCATAGTAAGAATGTAAGTTAAGTGTTCACAGAATTTAATATTTTGGACAGACCCTTAGTGCAAGTTGGCTGTTGACTGTGTCTTTGCGGTGTGTTTCGAATGCAGCTTTTTGGCCCAACACAGTTGGCTTTCATCGCCACTATTTCTCTGATGTCAGCTTGATGCGTCACAACCTTTATTGTAACTGATTCTTTATTGCATGTCTTTCTAAAGAAAAATAGTTGTCTTAGACTTTCATCAAAATGTAATAACTTACTTTTCTTCTAAATGCATCAATTTGTTTGCATTTAAACATGAGTTGAAAAGCGTCAAATGGTTTTGTTTTTCTATAAAATCTCGGCATACGGCTACTTGTTCAGTTTTTGCTGAATTGTATATTGTTTTTTTCCCTTGTTGACTGGGAATTAAATGTTTTTCATTCTTCTTCTGCCAACAGGGGGGAGAGAAATTGCAGGATGCGTTCTATATCTTCCAGGAAATGTCAGACAAGTACTCGCCCACACTGCTGCTGCTGAACGGTCAGGCTGCGAGTCACATGGCTCAGAATAAGTGGGATGAGGCTGAGTCAGTACTACAGGATGCTCTGGACAAAGTAAGAGCCTGGATTTCAGCACAGCAAATAATTTGACAAGTGTAGACCGACTTATTGGTTGAATCCAAGACCTTCAAGCTAAGCAAACAACCCAAAATCGGACTATATTAGAAATGCTATCTTGAATCACAATCTAATCAGGGTGTAATTTTTTTCTGCTTGTCTGTTGACCTATGCAAGGCAGCAGATTGGTTGCTTTGCAAGGAAAATACGCATTTGTTGTTGAAAACTGGAATTGCTATTGAAATTGAAAGCAAAACTCGTTAAGATGTGCTTCATATCGATTATTTAATGAGCTGGCTTTGGTCCACTTTTAACAGCGGTGAAATGTCATGATTTGTCCTTTATCTTCTGTAGGACAGCAGCCACCCGGAGACACTCATCAACCTCATTGTGTTGACACAGCATTTGGGCAAACCTCCTGAGGTGAACTTTATAAATATAAATGTTCTCAGCACAGTCAGCTACCGAAGCAGTGGGATGTTAACATGTTAATATTAACACTATAATCTGCATGCTTCAGTGTATGCGAAAGCATTTTATACCCCTGAGAAAGCATTAGTTATGTAAAGGATAGCAGAGATGTTCATAGTTTCTTTGTTTCTGCACAGGTGACAAATCGATATTTGTCTCAACTGAAAGATGCGCATAAGTCACATCCATTTATTAAAGAGTATCTTGTGAAGGTAAGATTGTTTAGTGTGATACAGGACACCTTGTTCTGTTTTTCTTTTCTGAGAAGGCATTGCTTGAGTAACTGTGAAAATATTAAGTACTAAGTTTAATAAAGACGTTGTAAACTCAATCATGTTTCCACAGGAGAATGAATTCGACAGGCTTGTCATGCAGTACGCCCCCAGCGCCTGAAAGAACTACGCAGTTTTAATTTATCTCTCCTCTTTACACCTTTTTAATACCTTTTAAACAAAATAATATTCAACTGTTTGAGTTTTTTGTTTGCTCTGTCTTTTTTTGACATGTCCAAAAGCTCCACAAACATTCCTGTATGATGGCTAAATGAACATGTTTATCATACATACTGTAGTGTTGTTGTGTTATTGAATGCTCATATCGGCCAGAGAACTTTGTCCACATCACAGCCAATGTTGTTCCTTACCAGGCAATGGGCAAAAAAACTAGTGTGCCAGCCTTGAAAACACTCCACAACTGTGTCACCATAGGCCAATTCTATTGTCTTTAAGATGGCACGTTCCACTATGACATGTTGGCTAATTATGTTCCTGCCTCTTCTCTCTTTGTAAGATTGAACCCTGCTTCATATACAAAAATGCATTCATGGGGCCTTTCCATGAAATCCATTTCAAACACTCTATAAATACAAAATGAAGTAATTTAATAAATGATACAGAAAGACAGACTTCTGCAAGTGCATTTGTAGGCTCTCCTGATTTACATTCACTATAATATACTGCAGTTTACAGTAACTGTAGGCTAGTAGCACAGAACTGGACTGTAAGCATCAACTGAAAATCTACACTTACTAGCACATACTGATATTGTAGATCTTTGACCCTTTCTGAGTTGCGCTCAAAAGGGAACAGTAAATGGTTGAAAGGCTGACAATCTTTCAAAGTTTACGTTGTCTTCAACTACTCTGCTGAATTTAACAAGTCGGATGGCATTGTTTTTGAAGTTCAAGCTTTCCACCCTCATGTGCTGGCCTTGCAATTCTACAAAAAGAAAGAGAGCACTTACGAATGTATACATACAAGAAGAATAGTAATAGAAATTACTTCAATATATAAAATGTTGTATGGTTATTCCATGAATAAGAATAGTGTCACCTTTGCTGAAGTTTCCTCATCCAGCACCTGTGCTATTCTTCCTCTGCCTTTAAACCTTCATCCGTCCCTCGGGTCATTTTGATCCAAAACTCATTTTTAAAGATTTTTTAAAAATCGAGCGTTGATCGTTATGGTATGAGATTTTGTTACACTTGAACCGGGAATACATGAAAACAAATTTTGAGTGAATTCGAGCAGTTTAAGTGGGTGCTATAAAAAAAAGTATCAAAAGTGTCCCACCACTGGAAAAGCATGGAATTTACGAAAAAACTGAATTTTTTATTTAATTTTGTCACACTTTAGCATGGAGCACACACAAACATTTTTGAGTTGAATCGAGGATTCTATGTGGGTGTAATAAAAAAAAGTATCACACCCACAATTATTACATTCAGGGGGGAAAAAAACAGCATTGTTTTATTTATTAGATTTTTTTTTACTATATAAAATCTGACACAATCCAGAAAAGATGCATACCCAAACAAAGGGCTGAGACTGCAGAATGTCCACAATGCACAAAAAACTCACATACCCACACACAGGCACACACACTCCCGTTGAAACACATCATAGCATTTATGATGTTCCTGCTGGGAAATGACTCATTTTGAATTTTTTCTTTTTTACTTAACACAGTTAAATTTGAGTGATGGGGTGGAGACCAATGAGTTTATATCATATTTATATTTTTACATTGATCTTTTATATTTATTACATATTTATGAAACTATGAATATATATGTGTTTGGATTCAAAATCAGTATCAATTTTTTTTTTTTTTTTTACAAAATATAGTTTTTTTTAAATGTTTTGATATATATCTGAAAGCTTAATGAAGCCTCAAGTTGGTGTAGTTTTAAAGATTTGACTTGTTTGGCTCATTTAAGAATCCATATAGGGTTCAATAGGCCCCTCTAGTGGCTGTAATCATAAAATGCTATTTTATGTCATTTTTCCCCACCTGATGGCAACAGAGACAGTCAGTGACCTAGGTCCAGATGGGTGATCATGTTTAAAATATAAATATGCAGAAATTGTGTCTTTCTTTGTTTTTTTTTGGTGAAAAAATGTATAAAAATATGCTCATTTTCATAAAAATATCTAAAAAATAAAATAAAATTAGTGTCATTTTTGGCCTTCTGGTCATTTTGACCCGCGAGGGACACTTTTGTTATAGGTTCGGGAGGGACGGATGCGGGTTAAGATTTTTTAAGTATCAACATTTAGCACACCTCAGAACTGACTAGCTGTATATTTTGATCACATCGTTAGAGACAAGTGTGATCGATTTTGAGTTGTGTGTAAATGATAGCTGTATGGTAGCTGTGTTCATGGTGTGAAATGTGTTTTAGTGAGTGAGAATGTGTTTAGAGTTTTACACACACACAAAAAGTGCAAAGTGTGTAACTAACTGAAATTGTTTTGCCAAAAGAATGATTTATTCGATGCGTTTATGTGTCTGAGCATTTGGCTCAGAGAATGGGGTTCAGTGTTTTAGCAATTCAGAAAAAAATGTGACAAAATGCATTGTGACCTTAACTGTAGAAAGAACAGAAAGTGGGCACAGTGCTGACTCAGTTTGTCCCAATGAAGGAAATTACATGTCTTTAAAAAAAAAATTTATTATTTAATCAAAGTTTCTGAAGAAAAATCAGTTATATTATCGGATAAGTCAAATCTGGTCCTAAAATAGTGTGCGAGTTGCCCAAAAATAATTTCCATTGTTTTGCTGACATCTAAGACTTCTTGTATGCCTCATTCATCACTGATAAAATACAACCAATGGTGGTGTCATCAGTAAAGGTGATGATGCGGTTGCTGAAATGGAAATGCAGTCATAGGTGAATAGTGAGACGCCTGATATAGAGCTGAGACAGCAGCTCTGCGTAATACAGGTGCTCTGAAAAAATATCCTTTTAGGATTTGCTAAGGACAATGTTTTGCTTGCACATAATGTTTGCAGGTCGATGACAACTTTTCTATGTAGGACATTATTTCTCTCTGTTTATTTGTAGTTATTATATGTTAATGGTTATGAATGCAAATTGGGGTCCAAACATCTGAGACCTGAACACAGCTTAATCCATTAAAGAGAGTGACCGATATGAACAATGAAGACCAAGTCAAAGATGAAGTTCAATCAGCTGACAGCAAATAGTTTTTCGTTTTGTTTTGCTTCCAGTGTCCCGAGATACCCTGATCTCCTATAAGAATGACAGCAAATCAATCTCCCCCCCCAGACAGAATTATTTTTATTTTGTGCATTTAATATTTTCATCTTTTCCCTTCAAGGAGTTTATTAACAAAGACAATACAATACAAAAAAAAAATGTAACTTACAACTTACTTTTTAAACTTCATTGTCACATTTTAACATATTTTAGAGTAACAGTAATTAAAAAAAAAGATTTTCCATGCGGTCTCATGGTTACTATAGTAATAAATAATAAATAAAATAATAAATGTATAGATAAGCAGCCCATCTTTTAAAGGAATATCCATTTAATTCAAGTTGAGGTTAATCAGCATTTGTGGCATAATGTTGATTACCACAAAAAAATAAAGACTTACAATAATACATATCTTTATTGAAACTCAATTTCAACATTTTAAATTGGTAGTTGATTAAGCAGATAAAGAAAAAAAATGGATATTACAGAAGTTACATGATTACATCTATTTTTTTAATGATAAACGCAATGCTTATATGTAACACCTATTTAAAACAGTAAAAGAATTCCAGTGTCACACAATCCAAAATAATTTCATAAACACTGAAGTATAACAATTTTTTAAAAAGCTGCATTTATTTTGGTCAGTATTTGTGCAGTACAGAAGAAATCTATACTCTGTCTACCACAGAACAGCAAATTACAGTAGGCCTATGAATCCAAGTTCCACCGAGGCACTTAGAATGGATGGGAATGTCATTTTTGGAGGATTTAAAAGCAAAAATGTGGTGCCATAATTTTCTACAAATGCAGATAAAGAAAAAAAATGGATATTACAGAAGTTACATGATTACATCTATTTTTTAATGATAAACGCAATGCTTATATGTAACACCTATTTAAAACAGTAAAAGAATTCCAGTGTCACACAATCCAAAATAATTTCATAAACACTGAAGTATAACAATTTTTTAAAAAGCTGCATTTATTTTGGTCAGTATTTGTGCAGTACAGAAGAAATCTATACTCTGTCTACCATAGAACAGCAAATTACAGTAGGCCTATGAATCCAAGTTCCACCGAGGCACTTAGAATGGATGGGAATATCAATTTTGGAGGATGTAAAAGCAAAAATGTGGTGCCATAATTTTCTACAAATACTTATACATTAAATCTTCTGGTTATTTTAAAGTTTTAGTGGTTATCTTGTCATGGCAACAAAGTTGTAAAATAGGATTACACCGAAAAGGTTATACGCATTTTTAAGTAAGCATATATTTTTTGCATCTTATGGTACTTAGTAGTCATTTGAATGTTTATTTCCATTGTGAGTGTCTCACTGTAACCATATTTAAAGCAAAAAGAGTCACAAGTGAAGATTTATGTCTGTGCTAATCAACATTATGCCACAAGTGCTGTCGATTGAACTTAAGAAACACACACATACTGTACATCATAAGACAAGGATGACTAAACGGCCAAGTGGGTCACATTTTAATTATACTCCTGTTATTATGTTTACCATCCTGACCACCTGGAGGCTGCCTGATAAAAAGTCAAGTACCCAGTTTCAGATAGATTTACTCAGCTCCAGGAGTTTTAAGGCCAGTTTTGACATATTTATAGTGTTGAAGATGGAGCTGTGGACAATAGATCAGTACACACATCCCAGTATATGTATGAAGAGCTCAAGGGCTGTTTGCAAGGTTGGAGAAGTGGTGTCATTTGATTTGTTTGTTCAGTATGAAGCTGCAGAGGGTCCAAGGATTCATGAATGATGCTGTCAGTAGAGGACAGAAGTGACCACAGTTTGACAGTAGTTACAGTTTGAAACAGACTGAAACCTCAGGGTGGGTCAAAGAACTCTTGAAAATGTCTGTGCAGACTGGGTCCAGATGCTTTGGACAGGTTTTGAGGAATCGTGGTGAGATGCCATCTGGTTGCATTGCTTGTTGTCACCTGCTAAGAACCTTGAACACAACTCGTGAACTCCTCACTTGAAGAGGCTGATGTAGTGTTCCCAAAAGACGAGCATGTCCTTGGAGGGCAAAAGGTGCTCCAAGAACATTATGTAATGGTCAGGGTGGTCCTGTCAGTCCAGCAGCTTAATGATGTGAGGACACCTTGAGGGTTTTTTCTGTCAGGGTCACCTCTAGAAGATATGATTCAGGATGAGCAGGCTATAGATAAAAGACAGTTTTTATGATGGTTAGATGGAAGTGGTTTCTCAAATAAGGATTTCAATCATGACAACTCTCAGAACATTTTAGCATGGTGATGGATATGACAATGTTATGTATTTGGTCTTGGTGGAACAGATCTGCTATGCTGCTGCTGAATTGCTGCTGCTGTTGGTTATTGCTGTAGTTGTAGATTATTGC